AATTGTTATAAGTTGCATCAACGATTTAACAGACTTTAATTGCAGTGTTCTTAATCTTTATAAGTTAGTAGTACTGTTCGGGTTTACAGTGTGGGGGCGTGTTAGAACGAGCCGTTTTAGGTAGGTGTGGTTGACTTTTAACTTTTATAAAGAATATCTCTTTGGATTTGAGACTTTAGTCTTTGCAACTTTACAGATCTTCTTTATGCACCAAGAGCTTGTAACACTCCAAAGAGAAAGGAAAACTTGAAATCGCATCATATGACCCCTTTAAAATGACCCTATTTACATTCATAATTCATGATCCAATCCATTTTTAAGATTAAAATAAAGTCAATGTTATGATTTTATAATTAAAATATGTCAGATGGAAGTAAAATGGGTTGCAAACAGCATTTCACATTGACACATTGCACATTTTAAGACCAACAATCTGTAGGACACACTTCTGATGTTTCTGTAAACTCAAAGAACTTATGAAGGCATCTTATCTGCCCAGCATGTTTCTGACAACTTGTTGTTTGCATGGACGAGGAGAAGTTTGAGGGGCCAATGTGAACAGAGAGAAAGAGGGGGTAAAAATATGAGGCGGAGGAGAGGCGACGGCAGTTAACATTCCTCTGAGAAACTTGAATCCCTCTCTGAGCGGTCAGTGTTGGGTTTCAGTTCAGTCCCATTAGTATGGCAGCCATTTATTAAAAACACATTTTACACTGGCTCATTACTCTGAGCGCAGAACTCACTACACATCAATCAACAGATTACACTTTCTTTGTCCCGCCCTCTCTGAGACCGAACATACATTACACACTCGCACTACACGGCTCTCTGGAATACTTCATTCTGATTAGTCCGTTTTAGCACTCTGTCAGTCAAATACTTGTGTGTAATGTCTACTAAACTCTATAACTGACCACTGTCCCATGCAACTGATTTCCTGTGCAGCTGTGTTTGTTTCATGTCTCTCATATCATTTCATCTCACAGAATGAAATTTCAATATTTATTTTATGTCCGTTTGTTTATGTTTTGTGCAAGTATCCATGTAATAAGAGCAGTAAAAGAAAAAAGACACCATGATCTCACCTTCCACCACATCTCTCTTGTAATCACTGTCATTGTCGCTGTCTGTTGGCCGATAGTAGATATAGAATCCCTGGATGGGTGTGTTGTTATTACTGGAGGGAGTGTACTATGAAAGAGAGTGAAAGAAACAGCAAATTATATATTTTTTGTTTCCTCAATACACACTCGCTAATAATTATCCCATCAAAGATAAGAACATAACTAAAGTTTAACTAGAATCAAGACATCCTGCTCTATTTAAAAAGGCTATAATGTACACATTTGCATGACTTTATTTTCTGAAGTCTACTAATAATATTAGGCATATAGTCCTAATTTAGTTTTACACGACCATTTTCTGACCTTTGAAGGATACTTTTTTTGTCTTGAAGTCTCTTTAAGACTTCTAGGCAACAATGACCTCTGTTATGATTGGCTAACCTTTTAGCTAAAGAGTAAAATAAAATTTCTGTTTTTATGTATGCACCCTAATGTCACTCCAAACATGCATGAGTTTTAGCATTGTCCTCGGTGTTCTCTTCCATACGATGAAAGTGAATAGGGACAAACTCTACAAAAACGCACGTTAAAAATATTCTAATGGAATGTTCACGAGTGCCCATGTCCAATTCACAAAAACAATTCATTCTTCATTCAATCATTTACTCTTTTCAAAGAAGTAGTTGACCAGATTCACCAAATGATTCGTTTCTCAAGTTCAACTCTTGATTCAATCCAGGATCCAGATTATCAGTCAGAAATGACAGAGTTATTGTATGACCTGAATGTTTTTATGTTATTTTTCCAAGCATGAAAGTTTCAAATGCAAGTCATTGTAACTACACAGACAAGAACAAACAGTAAATTCTTCAAAATGATTTGCTTTTCCACAAAAGAAAGTCAGGTTTGGAATAACATGAAGGTAAGTAAATGGCAACATTTCCATTTCTAGATGAACTATTCCTTTAAGACACATCAAAACTTTTCACCTCATGCATGTCTTCTAAAAATAGCTCAACTCAGTCCGTTCCACTCGTTAGAGTTGGATAAGGCCTCCTAATCTGTACTGGACTCACACACACTTTTTCCTGCAAAACCAGTAACCATTGCCAATTACAGGTCTGTTTGGACATTCTGGGGTGGCTCTCAGGGGCTGATGGGAAAAGCTACTACACAGCGCCTGGAAAAGTGCACACGCAAATACTCTGCGTGCTAAAAAACACTTCGGCACCACTGGCACTGCAGAGAAGAACAAACCGAGGAGGCGTGTTGTGAGTGAGCTCGTTATCTGGTTAGTTCTAGACCGTTTTTACACTCTCATTTTCAAATTAAGCATGAAATGTGAGTATAATTAAATTGGCCATTAGATATAAAAGGCATACTGTATGTCTAAAACATTAACACACACACACACATTAGTTTAAACCCCTGAGCTGCTAATATGAGGTTCAGGGTTATTCCTTCAACAGGCCAGAAACAGAAACAACATTTGTTTGTACAAGTGGTGAGACCCTTTTTAAGATTAATGTGCTAATAATACACATACAGAAGCACGGAATGATACAAAAACTCAGTTTATTTAGTGATGAGTTATTGAGTGCCTAACAGAAACTGTTCCAAAACCTAGTGAGCTGCTTCGCTGTCTACTGCCTCCATACGCAGCTGCCTTTATTTTAGCCACGATAACATATTTTGTTGCCTACTGTTAGCAACAGCCTTTGTGTCAGCAGTGCACCCTTAAAATGCTGTCTCGATGGGCAGCTCAAGTTTAGGGGCAGAGTTAGTGTACTTAATTTAGCAGACAGTGTATAGTACAGCATTCATGTGCCTGTTCACAAGTGTACTCACAGTCCAGCGTAACATGATCTGAGTATCGCTCACTGCGTCAGTGGAAGAGATGTGAGGGCCAGTGATCGGACGATTTGACACGGGTGGACTCGACAGGGAGACCTGGTACGGCCTGGAGGTGGCGCTAGCAGGGCTTTCACCATAGTTATTCATGGCAATGACACGGAAACGATATGTGGTACCTGTCATGAAAAGATTTATTAGACCAAATGAGATTTTTATATTTTCGTAGTATACTCATACATTTATGTCCCCAGTAAATTGGACCAGATTTGGAAGTGGTTTTCTTAGGTTTTCACATTTTCAAGTGCATGTCATGTGTAACAGGATTTACAGACAGACATGAAAAAAAAAAAGTGGGAAAAAAAAAATGTAATTACTAATTTTTTACATTTTCCATTAACTTTTTAATTGTTAATAGTAATACTTTTTTTTATTATTAATTAAAACATAATAAAATGTATTTATCCATGATTATTAAAATTACAAATAATGGTAACACTTTAGTGTGGGGACCAATTCTCACAATTAACTAGTTGTTTATTAGCATGCATATTACTAGCATATTGGCTGTTTATTAGTACGTATAAAGCACATATTAATGCCTTATTCTGCATGACCATAATCTACATCTCTTAATCCAACCCTATACCTAAATTTAACAACTACCTTACTAACTCCTAATAATAATATTGAGGCAAAAGTCGTAATTAATAGTTATTTAATTGTGAGAATTGGTCCCCAAACTAAAGTGTGACCCAAATAATATATTTAAATAATATTAATAAGATCTGGGAATCAACCTGTGGCAACCCTGGTGTAACCTCACCTGGTTCCAGGTTGCGCACTTCCACAGACAGTTTAAGTGGTGAGATATTATCAGCCGCGATGATCCAGTCTCCACTTCGGCCCTGCTTCCTGTATTCCACGCGAAAGGCCGTGATTGGAGAGCCACCATTGGCTCGTGGGATCCAAGCGACATAGACAGAGCTTTCTGTCGCCATAGAGATAGTTGGGCGGTCTGGGGCCTCGGGAACTTAGGGATGAAACCAACCAATTAGAAGTTTGAAAAAACAAGTAAATGCAAACTAAGATCTAATTATTGTTTTCCCTAAAAAAAACAGCAGTGCAAAATGTAACCTCAACATCCATCAGCGAAAAGACAAAAAGAGCAGACAAAGATAAAATAAACCAACACACACACACACAACAGACGACAGCATGCCAGAGTCAATTGAGTACTTACTGAATGGGCTCTGAGCCATAGACACAGAGACGCAAGCAGAGAGAGAAAGACAGAGTAAAATTTATGTGGCAAATAAAAGTGGGTTCATACCCATTAGAATCTAAATGTGCACACACACACACACACACATACACACACACACACATTCAAACTCTAATTACAGAAATACATCTCACACATCTGTGCAAGTGCAATAAGAATACTTCACCCCAAGTGACCAATTACTCGCCCTCATGTCATAGTTTGACATGGACCACAAAAGAAGAACTTTTGAAGAATCTTCTTGCACTCTTTTCCATATATTTAAGCATATTGGGACCAGAAAGTTATCATAAGGCTTTAGAAGACTTAAAATCAAACACACTATTTGTGTGGACTAAAATTTAGTTTTTGTTTTTTTGGGGTGCTTAACAGTGCCTGGTCACAATATAGTTTCACTGTATGGAAAAAGTAGCATGAACACTCTTCTGCTCCACAGAACACATATGAGAGGATTTTCATGTTTTTGGTGAACTACTCTTAGAGGGCAAGTACATCATTGATCATCATCAATCAAGCAGAAGTCAAACCTTTATGGTGTAATAGTGTTGTGGGACGTCCTCTTACCTCTGTCATGTATGACCACTCCATAATAAGTGTTAGTGGTTTTATCTTCCAGTGCTTTCTCTGGAAGGGACACAATTGGAGCCTTGGAGGGGTTCTTATTGGAGGAAGTTCTCTCTGAGAAGAAGAGTAAGAGAAGTTATGATTTGATTAATAATGTTACTGTACCAAACTAAGAGTGTATATTATGAGCAGCTAGTGGCAAAGGCAAAAGTTCTTTCTTATGCTTACTTTAATTCTAGAACATGCATGAGCTAGAAAATATACAAATATTTGCCAATGCAATCATAAAAATTCAATGCATCATATAATCATTTTTTTAATTACTGTAAATTATGTAAACATGTAAATTAATTACGTAAAAGTATAATATAATAAAATATACACACATACACTACCATTCAAAAGTTTGGGTTTGGTAAGATTTTTTTTCTCTTATGCGCACCAAGGCGGCATTCATTTGCTCAAAAATACAGTAAAAAATATTAATATTGTAAAATGTTATTATAATTTAAAACTCTTTTCTTTTTGTCTATTTCTTTTTTCTATTTATTTGTGTGTTGGAAAAACTCACATCACATTATTCTTCAAAAATCATTCTAATATGCTGATTTGGGGCTCAAGAAACATTTATTATTATCATGAATGTTGAAAACAGCTGTGCTGCTTAATATGTTTGTGGAAATCATGACACTTTTTCAGGATTCTTTGAAGAATAGAAAGTATGTAAAAATGTAAATTAATTACGTAAAAGTATAATATAATAAAATATACACACATACACTACCATTCAAAAGTTTGGGTTTGGTAAGATTTTTTTTTCTCTTATGCACACCAAGGCGGCATTCATTTGCTCAAAAATACAGTAAAAAATTGTAATATTGTAAAATGTTATTATAATTTAAAACTCTTTAATTTTTGTCTATTTCTTTTTTCTATTTATTTGTGTGTTGGAAAAACTCACATCACATGATTCTTCAAAAATCATTCTAATATGCTGATTTGGGGCTCAAGAAACATTTATTATTATCATGAATGTTGAAAACAGCTGTGCTGCTTAATATGTTTGTGGAAATCATGACACTTTTTCAGGATTCTTTGAAGAATAGAAAGTTCAAAAGAACAAACTTTATTTGAAGTAGAATTATTTTTGTAAATTAATTACCTTTGCTGTCACTTTTGATCAATTTGTGACATGACATGTGACATGACATGTGGCCAAGTATGGTGACCCATACTCGGAATTAGTGCTCTGCATTTATCCCATCCAAAGTGCACACACACAGCAGTGAACACACACATACCGTGAACACACACCCGGAGCAGTGGGCAGCCATTTTTTGCTGCGGCGCCCGGTGAGCAGTTGGGGGTTCGGTGCCTTGCTCAAGGGCACCTCAGTTGTGGTATTGAAGGTGGGAGAGAGCGCTGTACATTCACTCCCCCCACCTACAACCCCTGCCGGTACGAGACTCGAACCCGCAACCTTTGGGTTACGAGTCCGACTCTCTAACCATTAGGCCACGACTTCCCCATTTAATGCATCTTTTGCTGAATAAAAGTATTAGTTTGTTTCAATAAAAAAATAAAAATAAATACTGACCCCCATACTTGTGAACGGTGGTTTATATGTAATATAAGGCATTCATTTCTAACCCAAAACACAATTCTTGACCTATTTTCCACAGCTCAGATTCACTGAATTATGATCTAGTTCTGATGTAGGCCACGACTTCCCCATTTAATGCATCTTTTGCTGAATAAAAGTATTAGTTTGTTTCAATAAAAAAATTAAAATAAATACTGACCCCCATACTTGTGAACGGTGGTTTATATGTAATATAAGGCATTCATTTCTAACCCAAAACACAATTCTTGACCTATTTTCCACAGCTCAGATTCACTGAATTATGATCTAGTTCTGATGTAATCAAAGCCAAACAGCTTTAGAAAAGTGAAAATGAGCTCTTCAGCTGGGTGAAATGCTGACTGTATTCTCACCCTTTCCAGTGCGGAAGGTCAGCATTGCGGGCTGGCCCTCTCCTGCAGCGCTGCGGGCCACCATCAGAACCTCATATAGGCTGGACGGCTCCAGCTCAGACAGGGGCAGGGACTTCTCACTGCCTGGCACTCGCACCGTTTGCCAGTTCCCCACTACATTACCCATGTCATCCACCTACAGGGACATTCAGCACATGCGCAGTTAGGTGACAATCTAACCGTATGTAGTGATCTCATGCACACAGGCGTACCTTTCAAGCCTCATATTCTGTGTCTGACTTTGCACATACTGCACGTAAAGTTCAACAAAGAACAGTAACGTCTTTCTTATTCTCCTACTCTGAATCATGACAAAAGATCAACCCACTCAACAACTATCCCTGAGAGCACAAGCTGTGTCACTTTTTCCTGAGCCAATGTGACAAACGCTGCCAATGCAATCTTGAAAAGAACCAGAGGAGTTTTATTAGCCAAGGGAGCTTATTATTGAAGAAAACACAGGCTTTAAAAGAGGAAATTACCAACTTCTTACCAAAAACGCTCTTGGCTGGCAGATACTGCTGAATTGTGTTAGCACTGACTTTTACAGTAAACGGCACAGGGCGTTGTTATGAGTATGTGCTCATTCTCAAATCTAATAACTATAAATCTGACCTGATAACTAACGCCAAGGGAAAAGAAGAGGGTGGAGCGAGATTCAGTCATTCTTGACGAGGTAATAATTATCTACATTTTGTGGCCCGCTTAAAGTACATCAGTAAAACATTCATAACGGAAAATCTACAAGCGTACTTTATGATTTCTTACCTTGCGGTATTTAACGAAGTATGCATTGATAGGGATGCCCCAGTCCCGACCTGCTCGCCACTCTAGATCATACATGTTGGGTTTGTGCGTTTGTGGTGGGCTGATTATGATTGGTGCTTCTGGCGTAGCTTTGTCGCTTATTCTCTCGATGGGCGGTCCTATAGTTTCACCAATCCCCTCCTCCCCCACGGAGGGGAACAGTTCATCACCCTCATCGCTCTGGATAGGGTGGACAGAAGGCTGCGTCTCCATGAGAGCTCCAGACATGGAACTAGCCTGGGGTTCTGTAGGGGAAAAAGAACAATTTTGGTCGTAAATCTTATCTTTTTATTTGATTTTTTTTTTTGATATACTTTTTCTTTTTTTAATAGTTAATTATCTTAATTATTCTAAAATGTTATTCATTTTACCAGTACACTGTTTTAAGGTCATGTTGTTACAGTGTAATTACACAAATAAGTACCAAATAATATTAATTAACTACATTACTATAGTATTTAATATAGTGTTACTATAGGGTTAAGGTTAGGGTTAGGTTTAGGGTAAGTTGCTTGTAATGCATAATGTATGCATAATATACTGTTATTACTATAGTAAGTATATGTAACATTTGTAACTATGTCACGTTAAAATAAAGTGTTACCATTTTACTTTTCAAATATTAGTATATAGGATAATTAAACACAGCTATAGCACTCTGGCAATATGCAAGCCTGGAAACTACTTTTTCACTGGCATTAAAATAAAAAGCCAGGAACCTCAAAGGGAACATACAATAAAGCTCTATTATTAATTAATTTATTTTTATTAAACCCCACCCAAATGGTCCATTTGGGAATCTGTGCTTCTGACACTGGCTTGGCAGCCAATCATCTGAGCAGAATTTTTGTGAACTTGGATTTAGTGAACGACGACTTGCATACATGTGGGTTCCTTTTCTGTGCGAGTAGACATACACCATGAGCGTTGTATACATTACAATATTCAAGTCACCGCTTGAGTAACGGTCAGATAGCAACTGAATAATCCCAGCTAAACAGCTGAAAAGCAGTTGTACAAGAGGTATGGTTTGTTGCTGGTTCTTAGGGTCTCTCGTTCTCAGTTGTTGGGTGCGTGGCACTGGTTTACCTTACAAAACAAACAGTCCCAGAGTCAGTAACACAAGAGCTCAAACTGGGCCCGACGCCAGCCGCCACACATTCCACCCTTCGGCCATTAAAATACCAGAGTGAATCAGAGTCCTACACCAGCTCTCAAACCCACCTTCCAATCATGTCCTGTTTGCTAGGGTTCCAATCATGCTAGGGTGTTCAGTGTGGTTGCTAGGACATTGTGAGGCTGTTCTATGCAGCTGCTTACTGGCACCCTCCTCACCTTCAAGTCAGTATGATATTCTAGTCACTAAATTTGACTCAGGTACCACCTTCAAAGTAAGTCTATGGGCCTGTCCCAATACCAACACTTGCGTACTCGCATCAGGAAGTGCACAAGACTGTCCCAGATCTGAAGAAAAGCCAAACCTCAGTGCCCTCAACACGCACTATTAAGTCCACACTATCTCTAAAACCACTTAGGAACAGTATTTAAGGCTAAGTCAGTGTATCCCATCATTAATGTTCAGGAACTCACCTACAGTGCAAGTTAAATCAATTAAATATTCCATATAATTTGGTAGTAAAACGTAAAATGTTGCACATTTTATTGGTGCAGAGATGAGTATGCGTATTTTGTAAAATGCTTGCATCTGTCTATCTGGACTACTGAACAGACATTTAGTAAAGTGCAAAGTATTGAAAATCAAAATGTATATAAAAGCAGTCCAAAAGTAAGTCAAAAGCAAAGTGAATACTTTACTTGCATTATTACAACACTATTATGTAAGTCTGTCCCATCAGGTAATCGAAAGTTGTACACATACTTGGTCTTCACGCTTACTTGACATATTTCCGGTATTTGGCCCAAGTGTTCATATAAGTAGACAAGTGGTCAAGTGCAAAGGCCGCAAGTGTGGGTAGTGGGACAGACCCACTGTCTTTTTTTAACAGTTCTATCATCCACCAGACAATTTGAGGTATAATTAATTTCCATAGCACAAACACTACTGGAGCCAAACCTTATACTTCGGTTACGGGTTTGTTCAAATCCCTAATCGTAAGTATGAGCAATAGTAATAGCGATGCTTGCCTTGACAAACACCACTGATGAAAGCATGATCCAGTAAATATTGTTCTGACGCTTTGATCTTCTCTCTTTTTCTGTACAGTAGATCTTTCTCCTTTGTGACTCACATGTGCCTGACTATGTGTGATCATTAATGACTGGTGTGGTGGGTATAATATAAACATTACAAGGGTGAGACAGAGACACAGAAAGCGATTTGGAGAAGAACGGTCCGGCTTCAGACTGTGATCGGGCTGTACATCATCTCGACTCACCCACTGTCAAAAACACCTCTGCCTGGGCTGAGCCAAGCTCACTGGAGGCCTAGCATGTATACCGCCCAGCATGAGAGGCAGTCACAGTCTGGATGTACAGGTTGCTGCTGCCAGCACAAGACAAGGTAAGGTGGGCAGCGTTGTCAACTGGCGACCTGCCTGCCGCTGGAGGCTGAAGTAGCAGGACGGAATGTGTGGTGATTGGACCGGCAGAGTTGTACCAACGGGTAACAGGAAGTGGCTTTCCACAAGAGAGTCACCCTCCACACAGATGCCGCTTTCAGGAGGGAACAGGATTGTGGGCTATGAATTTGTCAACTAAAAGACCCCATGCACTCAACATTTGACTTTTGTGGTCTTTTAGGTCTTATGTACACTAAAAGGTACACTAACTTGTAGCATATAATGCATTTAAATTTTTAAATAAAATGTTTGTCCAATCAAATGCTCTCTAGAATGAGATTCCACCTGCCTTTGACTAGCAACAGCAAGCAGCAAATCACAGTTCATTGTTCTGACAAACTAAAGCCTATTGGCTACAAAAAAACAGGAAATTAAACTGTGCGTCAAGTCCAGTCAGTATCCTCGGCTAAATCTAAAGCATTAAATCCACAACGTGTTTTCCCAGGCCCAGAGCTGATCACGTCTAACGCCGTTTCTTCTTTTTCCAGCGGCCTACGGATCACGTATCTATCTCAAATCTTGCCGTTTAACATAAACAACTCTGCTTTTACATTGACCTGCATTTTATCAGTGCGAAATAAATCACTCTTGTAGCCGAGCCCGGAAAAAAACGATACGAGCCAACATTTGGAAAAGACCTCCGTCATGTTTTATCTATTCTGAAGTCTGCATATCTCTAAGCTTATCAATCATGTTTGGAGACACAGAGCAAGGCTGAGGAATAGCCTCAGAGGAGGGCAAGGGAGGGCTGTGTGTGTGAGAGAGATGTGTATTAATAAATATAAGGCTACTTGTGTGTGATGTTGACAGCTGGGTGGTCTGGTCCTCGTCATAACCTTGTGCAGTTACTCCTTACATTCCGCTGTCCAAGAGCTTATCCCCAACAGCACGCACAAAGCTCACTCTCACAGCCTTCTCATTGCCAGCCAAATACTGTACACCCACCCCAGCACCCCTTCTCCAGCCAAACTCCAGCTAAACTCTCTGCCCTGCTGGAAGGATATACTGTCCCAACTCACTCTACGGTAAACCTGTATCTTCTGCTACTTCTGCTAGTAAAATTCTCTTTTAAAGAATTTATAATTACCCAGGGTGTTCTGGGTAGTTGCCAGGCTTTTGTTAGTGTGTTCTGGATGGTTGCTATAGGGTGCATCGTCTTACCTGATTGGACACTGAGTCTTCCCGCCGATTGTGCAGAGCTAATTCCATTGTCAAACAGGCACTGGTATATTCCCTGATCTTGAACCATTACTGAAGAGATGTGAAGGGAGGGGCCAGCGATTTGGAGGCGGGGTGAAGAAGCAAGAGGGGTGGAGTTGAGGAGCCATGTGATGTTGGGGGTTGGACTACCAATGGCAGTACAGGTAAATCTTACAGAGGAGCCTACAGTCACAGACTGATCTGACAAACCTTGCAGGACGCTTACTTGCGCTGTAAAGAGGGGAAGCGTGCTGGAGTTATTATACACAATGAAATAATACAACTATTCTCCATGAAGTACTAAGTAAGTACTAACCTACTTAATATTTCTAACATATGATCATTTTGTTGTTCATTGTTAGTAAAGTATGTATAAAGAATCAAAAATGGCAATGCTAGCATTTGTTGTGCAGGAGTATAAACAGGTTTTATTTTTATATAAGTTTCCAAGTTGGACATCATGTACCATTTTATTGCATATTTCCTATGTATGAAAATTGGAAATTCTGACTTTCGCAGTTGAATGAAACAATAATTCAGACCCTTCATGCAAGGAACATTACCCAGTGATTCCATATAAAACATGTTGAGCTTGAGAAGAATCTGAACTACATGGATTGAGCTGCCCCAAACCTTGGTGACATGATGGAATATTAATATTATTCCTTACCAAGCACATTCACAGTGTAGATGACACTGACCACAGCTCCACGGTCAGTCAGAACAGAGCAGCAATAATGTCCTCCATCACTCAGCTGAACATCATTCAACACCAGGTTGCTTTGCAACAACATCCATTTGGAATTCAAAGAAAGCTCCGCCCCATCTTTAATCCATTTGACCTTTGAAGAACGACTTCCTGATATGACACATTCAAGGGTCAGAGATCCAGACTGGTCCACTGTAAGATTGTGAGGGGTGACGGGATAGACGATCCTTATAGGTGAAGGGCCTTCTGAATCTACATGAAAAAAAAGAGTGCAATCACATTATTCCTTCATTAGGAAATATTGCTATTTTAATTTACAGCATACACCCAATATCTAACAATAGAAAAAACATCTCAGAATATATAGCTGCTGATTTTGTAGCAAACCTTATATAGTATGAATATGATATGGGAAGTATAACTCTCAAATCTTTGTGGTACCTAGAGAAAAACTAATAGAGTTTGCTCAACCAACCTCTGACCATGAGTTTAGTGCCATGAGCCTCTACTTGAGTCTCTCGGGTTAAAGGGTTATAAGCACCACACTTATACATGCCCTGGTGTTCTGAAGACACTGACACAATCTGAAGGTTCCCAGAGGGCAGGATTAAATACTCGTCTGAAAACAGACAAAAAGAAACAAACTCTCAAAATGTTCAACAGTATTTTCAAGTGTTTCTGGAGGGTTTGGCATTTGAAGCTCTCTAGTCTGTACCTGTAGACTGTTCCAGCCATTTCCCCCGTATCCGGAAGCGTGGCAGAGCAGATGGATTGCTGCGAGGAAGTGGGCATTCGATAACAGCAGTTTCCCCCTTATTTACAGTAAATGTCCTCCGATGGGTCTCGGCAAATCTCTCAATATCTGAATGAAGAAATCAAAAGAGTGCTCAATCGCTTCAAAGCAACACACGTAAAAGAACGCTGAAGACTTTTATTTTGCAATATGACCAGCTGATTGTACATTGTCCTGCTTTTTACATGACTACATATGAAGTAAAAAAATAAATAAACATATAATATTGATTTTGAGATGGAGAAGGAAGCTGTGGAGTGATATGAGAGATATGAAACTAGCACAGCTAGTTTCGTAATTGGCTACCTTTGACAACAGTCAATTATACAGTTTAGCAATCATTATACAAAATATCTGACCAAAGAATGTGGCAACTAACCGATCAGAATCAAACATTTGCGAGAGCGGTGCAATAAACTGACATATTAATTCATAGTAGCAGCAGTTCACACAAAGACCTTCTGTCAAAGAGGTGTTTATATTGGATTGTGAGTGGCAGAGAACATGTGCCTTCCACTGAATAATGCAGCCTTATCTGCAACCCTGATCAGGCCCTGGGTCGGTCGCTGGGGGTTTGCGTCCGATAGGGCACCCTTCGCAGCATCAGCTCTCGGTACGACACAGGAAGTCCCCAGGCTCATTAAGGATACTGCTGAAGAGGTGTCTGGATAAGTGCCAGACTGAAAAGAAAGAACCATTTCCTTCCCCTCCAACACTCATCTATGGTTGGCCATTCTAACAGTGTTAATGGCTCGAGAAATCCGCCTTCTGATACTTCCTGTCTTTCTTCTCCAGCGACCTCTTTGAAGTGCATTCTTGTAAGAGTGTTGTTCTTAAAGCTGCGCTGAAAGTGTTTTTGTCAGCATATTATGCGTGTGATCAAATGTGCCTACCTGCAATGCGCACTCGTGCATGCCGGCTGATGATGGAGCCTGTCTCGGACTGAGCCAAGCACTGGTAGGACCCCGTGATTTCCGGTTGGAGAGATGACAGCGAGAGGGAGCCTGGACTAAGTTCCACTCCAGACTGGTGGCTAGGGTCTAGTGGTTGACCCTGAAACAGCCAGCTGATTCTGGCGGTGGCTGGACGCGCTGTGCAGCGCAGGTGGACCGCACTGCCCTGCTTCTGTACCACAGAGAGAGGCTCCACATGAAAAGAGAGAGACAGGACAGCTGAAGGAGAGAGACATGGGGGAAAATAAAGAAAAGAATTATATCAACAGACCATAATCCATAAATATTCCTAGACTAGCTTGGATCATTGCACACAGGTGTGTGCTAATGTTTTTTTTTTTTTTTTTTTGGTGAATAGAAAGTTTAAAAGAACTTGAATAAATAGAAAACTAACCTGGGGCCTCACACACACCCCCTCCACACACACTGCACGCCTGAAACACATAAAAACAATTCAGAAACATTAAAAACTGTTGTATTGCATCATGGGCAATACAATATTTGAAAAGACTGAACTCGGTCAATCACATGGTTTAGCATGGTTCATGCAACAGTAATGACAACAAAATGACAGCAGAACATGAAATGTGGACACTTTTGCCACATATTTTGTGTTGACTGTGGAGGAAAAGCTCCAGAATTCTTCATAATTCTGTAAAGTGGCTTTAAATACAGTCAAATGTGTCAGAGCTGAGAGAGCTATTGCTAGCAGAAACAATGGTCAAATTAGCTGAAATAATAATGTGCATATTAAATTACAGTTGTTCTGAGTGGTTTAAGTGCATCACTAGGTGGTGGATATGGTGTCTCTAAAATATTTTGGTCCAAAGATATGTTTTAGGTTGCTCCTTTATTTCAAGTCTTTATGATTATTTTAGCTCATATTATTATTATGCAATGATAAAACCCCCCCAAAAAAAACACAAACTACTTTGAAAGGTCACAGTAAATCTCCCCTCAGAAAGACGCACAAATGTTTGTAGTATTCATGACTATAGCACAATTGACAAAGGAGGTCAAGTGTGCAAAGAAGTTTAATACTATAGGGGTTTGCTCAGATCACTAGTTGGAGTGCCTCAACAAACACCAATAATATAAGTTACCCATATACTCTTTCTACAGATACAAAAGTAGCACTGATTTCATCTTTCTATCTGTAGCTTGTCGAGAAGCTCAGCTTGTAGGAATTACAAAACCTAATATTTCACAGTTAATCCCAAACAATACTTTCAATAACCTTTATGACGCATCCACTTATGAATGCCTTGATCTCGCACAGCCTTCCCCCAAAGAGGAATTTCTTTCTGTTGATCTACGACACATTCCCACAGAGCACTTCTCCAGTGAAACAGAAATTCCTGAACTTCTGCACCCCCTCACTCACCCTCAACCTACAATCCTTCTTCTCCCTTGCCCCCTTCATTTCTGCCCATCTCCGATGGACTGCATTAAAAGAGTCTGCTTGTGGTCTACTCTTAATATCACTATCCAGTCACAGTGCACTGCTTTCTCACAGACTCACTGTAGCCTGAAGAGCCTCCACATGGTGTTCACACACTCACACACAGTCTCAAACGCCCTAAAAGAAAGACAAGGGGAGCGCCCAAAGGGTGAGACACGGAAAAGAGTGAAAGGATCGTAATTAGGAGCATTCCTCTTTGCTTTTGAACCCATCCCTCCCCTAGCGCCAGTCCTCTGTATCTGGGCTGCGTTAATCCGGAGGGCCTTTGATCACAGGATCCTGGTCTGTGAGTGTAGTTTGGGCCGGGGGCTGGCAGACAATGGCCGCCCAGCTGTGATATTCACACTGTGGGTGCCATGGGGCTCTGTGCCCAGCCCAACATCAGCCCAAAGGACAGGCCACTCGACTGGGTCAAATTAAAGAGGTTATGCCTGGGTGAGACCACTTAGGCTGAACAGGTCTGTGACATGACACACGCGCTCGAATTTACACACATTCAAGCATACTAATACCTCCTCTTGTGTTGCTTATTTCTCTTCAACGTTTTTCTTTAGCAGTGCATGGTGTGACAAGCATCACTATTAGCTACCATTTCTCATAGTGTATTAAAAACATGACAGCTCAACCGACTTCACTGATGGACAATAAAATGGGCAAAAAGAAAAATCCCATAAAATTACACTGAAGCACAAATCAGAGTTATAGCTTGGGACCAAACTTAGGAGTGGGCTCTCCACCTAGCAATTATTCAGAACACCTTAGAATCCACCTAAAAAATGCTCTAGCAACCATTCATTGCATAGCATTGTGCTAAAACAAGAGCATTTTAGCAACCATACTGCAATGCCCTGTCAACTACCCACAAGACCTTTGGATGAGTGCTGGACGTAAAAATCTAGTAAATAGTTGCATTCTGAAAGAATGAATTATCCCATCATTCATTTTAGCTGCAGTGAGACTAGGGCTGTGCGATATGGACAAAAAAACCTATCACGATTTCTTTGATCAATTTTGCGATTTCGATTTTAATCACGATTTTGACACACACAGACATGCTTTACAGTCATTAATGCATTCAGTGTGATTTAGGCGCGTTGCATTCTGATTGGTTCGGATAGCATAAATTTAAGGATGTCGGGGGCAGGGCAAATCGTGCTATAAAGCGATTTAGAAATCGCGCAAGCTCAAATCGCGATTTTATGACGATTTCGATTAATCGCACAGCCCTAAGTGAGACCTAAAAACACTCTTTGCAAGCATCAAACATGCACATACATACATATAATCTCCCCCGCCCCCCTGCGGGACCACTCAGAGGAAGACCAAGTTGGAAACACAGGAAATAATAAACTCTCCCAGCCTCCTGCTCACGCCCCCTCTAAACCCAAATGTCAAGGGTCACCGGAGAGCAGAAAGTCAGTGGGTGTCTGGCAATTGTGGCCCCGCCCCTTGGGGTCACCCCAAAAAGCAGGGTGATAAAGGGTCTGCACTTGACAAGCACAAAATACAGCACGACAGGCAAGGAGGGAGCAAGGCAGATGAGCCTTTAATAAATCTACACACTTTTGAAAACAGATTTCATAGAAAATTTACAAAGATTAGTCATAAACTCAGTAGATCTCAAAAGTAAATATGTATGCAATGGCTATAAACATATGTGTGTGCATGGTTCTTCAGCCCAAGGATTATAAGGGTATCGTGTCTTGTCCACGAGTCCCAACAAGCCCTCTGCAGTGCCCCTATGCCATCAGTGGAAAGAATCTTCTCACTCCCAGAATAATAATATATAATTACAACAATAACAACAGCCTTGAATGAAACACACAGACAAAGATGGGCAACATCGCCCCATGTATACATTGAAGGTGATGGTATGTACCCTGGGAGGGGTGGGTATAACCCTGAATCAAGATATCTGGTGTGAGGAGTGACGCTGCGCCTCTTGCTATCTCTACAACAGATCTGGCATGACGAGGAAACACAAGCATCATTCCTGTGTTTTATCTCTGTGCCTTTCTTTTGACATCCGCCTGTATGTACTAGGCTCAGGGCAGAGAGACACTTTGTAGGATATCTTCTGTCCTCCATCAGAGAGAGAGACAGGCAGCTACTACTATATGCAGGCAGAAGAGACAGCAGGGAATTGGAGCAGTCTTGAGCCTTCAATAACAGATATATAATATATATAGAGAGAGAAACAGAGCGGGTTGCAGAGTGCTGAGACATGTCTGATAGCAGAAGGGAAGGGAAGTCCCCTATACCTGCTGAAGATCTCCATCACACAGGCCACATCAAAAGAGAAGATTAAGGGCAAAGGGAAAACAGTGCAGGGAGAAGTAAAAGTCTAACAAACAGAGACAATTACAAACATTACCCTGAGAGTGCCTCTATTTTTGTAACATCATTGTACTACCAATGACTCGAGCAATAATGCTTGTTATTGCAGTTATTGAACCTAATAACTGAGGAAGCGTTTACTCTTGTCCATCCATTCCTTGCTGGAAGAACCTGCCTAAAAGTATGAAACAGCCAATGACCATTAATTACCAGCTTTGACCGACTAGAAACCTTATCAATCTACCATCAGGAGATACATTTTGCTGGATATTCCAGGAACCCTCAACAGAAATATTAACAGACACATAATTTTCTTGCTAGCTTCTTGTTTAGCTCTATTAAACACTTTATTAAAGATTAAGGGTATTGGTCGTATTACACAGCTGATGTTCAGAGTTTTCCTGTTGAAAAGACCAGCTTAGACTATCATGGATTTTCTTGTTGGTTGAGGCTGGTTGGCTGCTGGCCTATCTAGTGCGCAAGAGCATGCTGTTCTCCAGTCAACTCTAGACCAAAGTTTTAGCTTAAGCTAGTTATGAAGCCTGGTGGGGATGTTAGCACTACAGCATCCCATCCCAACCCAAAACACAACATATGCTGATCAGCAGGGGTATGTGGTTTACAAGGATGGATCTTTGGCCAGCGTACTACTCCATAGTCTCCAAACGTTGCGGAAGACTTCTCCTACATGCCTCTCTCCATTCTGTTTTTACATTTACAAGCTTGATTGAAGACTTTCTCAAGCCAAAAGATAAGATTTACACATACTGAGTGTTTTTCTGAGAGGCTTGATCTAGCAGCAGTCCAACAAACCCACAGGCAGTTGATGATCATAAATCTAGCCTTATCAGTTGTCAGAGCAAAAACTGTTTTTCCTTACTGTTTTCTCTTTGGAATGAGGGAGTACAATAAGTCCAGGGTCATACCTGAGATCCTGCCAAAGTGCAGGGAAGAAAGGCAAGACTCCTCGGGATGTCTAAGAGCATCCATCCTTAAAAATGATATCTTCTGCAGTTTTACCAAGACTATTCCAGCCATTAATTCATGTGCAGTACACAGTATCCATGCTAAAAAATAAGGGTGGCTCTAATGCCCTCATATCTGTATCTGACACATAGCCTCTACAGTAACATTCTGCTGGAATGCTGGGTCAATATTGCAGAAAGATGGGTGCAGTGTAAGCAGAAAAAAACACAGAATGACAGCAAGGAAAATAAACAGTCTGACAAGCCCCTAGATGTCTGTGTAAAGAGGACGGGAAGTGGCATCTGCAGTCCTATAAAAAAGGTGTGAACAAGAATGAATCTTTCTCTGCAGGCAGTGCTTGAAGTGTCATCTGCCCTCTGCCCAGATCCCTGTCATATTGAGTAAACATGGACAAAAGACCCCACAGGGCTATAGAAGAACAGGTCACAACTGGTACAATAGTAAAGGCCTGAACTTCACAGGTAAGAAAAAAAACAAACCTAGCAGTGAAATTTCCACAAAATGCTTATCTTATTAAACAAA